TTATTGTTATTATTAGTACTACTACTACTACTACTACTATTATTATTATTATTAGTATTATTAGTATTATTATTATTGTTATTATTATTATTATTGTTGTTGTACTATTGTTGTTTATAATTTGTACAATTAACCTCCTTGTGGTTCGACCCCGGTCTTGCCGGGTTATTTATTACTTCGACACTCCTGCACTTGGGAGAAGACATCAATATTTTAGTCGTGTCACTCATCATTGTCAGAAAATATGGCTCTTGTGTGATAAAACAAGAATTTTGGTTTTTGCTCAAACTCTACAATGAAAATTTCTCGAGCGACGACTATTGTGTCACCCACAAGTCTTGATTTCAAGATGCTTTGAGAAAAGCTTGCTTTGATGCAAAACAAAATGTCGGGAGCATACACCCTAAATGCAAGTTCTAGTTTTTTTATGTGATACAAAGTGTAGATTGACTATCTAGTTTAAAAAAAGGTCTCATATTTGCCTAGTGATGGTCTTTGTAAAGACAATATAGGAGCATTGCGAGAAACAATTAAGGCACGCATGCCCACCATTATTAAACAGGCACTCAGATATGAGTTGGGTGTTTCATGCATCTGAATCCTAACTAATAGTCATAGGACAAATTGTTAATCCGCTACCTATCTTATAAGTTTGTGTGTGCTTCCCATAAATTTAAGATATGTGATGCATGAGACAATTCTATACAATAAATGAGCAAATATGTACATAAATTAAAGCGCATAAGAAATAAATAAAGGAAATGCATATTAAAAATAAACACGCAAATCTAAAGGAAATGCATATTAAAAATAAACATGCAAACCAAACAATAAAACACAATGATCAGACAAAAACAAAACTTAGTCCACAAGGTCTTTAGTGGAGTTGTTATTCTGTCACACGTATGCAGCGTTGTGATGATCATCCTCTACCCTCAATTGTATTGTATCTAATTGGGCAAATATAGGGAGACAAGGATTTTTTATTTTTTATCAGTGGAAAAATAAAATGAGAATCATTACTTAATATTTTGATAATTAGAAACCCTAATTAGTTGATTTTAAAAATCAGATATAAAGACTAATTATATAAAAAAAAGATATTAACACTTTAAATATGCTATACTTAAATAGACTGCATTTGCAATGATAAAAAAGATATTAACACTTTAAATATGCTTAAATAGACTGCATTTGCAAAGCCCTTCACTGACTTTTCATTGGTATAGTTTCACGATGTTGCAGACAGTACACCCTCTTTTCACAGTTTTGAGTTTTGGCAGCCCATTCACAAGTTGCTTGTAATGCAAGGTTCCAAGTCTCTTCATGTTCAAATGACCATACCTTCGATGCCAAAGATAGTGGTATCTTCAGTTGCGACTTGAAGATAGTTTAAGCTTTGTATTTTTGTATTGGCGAGCAAGACGAACATCCTGTTCGCTGTCATTTAAGCATGTGCTATAAGACCTCTGCTGGGATGATAAATTCTACATGCTCCATCTTGAATCAGAATGGCTAGCCCTTTCTCTTGTAACTGACTAACAATCAGCAAATTATTTGTAAGCTCCGGAACATAAAACACATTGGCCACTACTTGAATTATTCCTCCAATCTCTATCTTGATGTTTCCCCTTCTCATTATTGGCATCCTTGAATTGTTCCCTAGCTTCACTGAATACCAGAATCGCTCATCAAAGTCCACAAACCACTGTTTGTTTCCTGACATGTGGTTTGAGCAGCCTGAATCAAGAAACCAGACTCCTTCCCTCTTTACATCGTTGGGTTCAACATGAGCCATCAAGAGAACCTCCTCTTCTTTATCTGCCTCTGCATAGTTTGTAGACTTCTCCTAGCTAGGTCATTCATATTGAAAATGCCCTAGCTTGTGGCATTTGTAGCACCCAACCAATGCTTTGTTGAACTCCTGCCTCCCTCGGCCTCTTCCTCTACCTCTGAACTTTTCACGTCCTCTTCCTCTACCACCAGCTCTATCCTCGTTGGTAACCTTCAATGCTTGCTCTTCACTGCTTTGTCCATGCCTCTTCATTCTTTGTTGATGAACTAACAGGCTGCTCTGCAGTTCATCAAATGTTAAAGTGTCCAAATTGTTGGATTCTTCCACTGAACGTACAACATAATCAAACTTTGAGGTCATAGATCTCAAAATCTTCTCAATGATAACCCACTTGATCCATTTTTTCACCATGTAGCTTCATCTTATTAGCAATCGTAAGGGTTGAGCAACATACTCATCTACCCCTTCCCATTCCTTCATCTGCAAGACTTTAAAAGTTCTCCTTAGCGCTTGCAATTGAGCTCGCTTTACTCAAGTTGACCCCCACTACTTCAGTTTCATGGAATCCCAAATTTGTTTCGCTGTGTCTTTGACGAGGATTGACTCCAAAATGTTTCGATTGATGGCCTGAAATAGGTAGTTCTTGACTTTTAAGTCCCTTAGCTTTCGATCCTCCATCGTCATCCTCTGAGTTGCTGTTAGCCCCAAGCCATCATCTTCTGGTACTAGAATTCCTTCTTCAATGAGACTCTAAAATTCCTTCGAGTGGAGGAAATTATCCATAAACATTGACCAATGGTCATAATGACCATCAAACTTGGGAATGGCTGGCTGAATGAAACTTCCTAATTCTGCAGCCATGTCTCACTCTTTCACTCTGTTGTTTCTCTCTTCCCTCTAACACTCACATCACAATCAGGCCCAATTAAGAGCTCTGATACCAAATTCTAGGAACAAATAGACTCTAAAGCAAAGATCTTTGAAGTTCACAAAATTTTATCTGTTACATTATTGAATGAAAAGGAATTGGGTTACAAAACCATTACAAATAATTGAATTGCAAAGTAACAGCCCATGTCTTTAAAATGTCTCCAACTTTAAAGTGTCTTAAAAACGTCTTAAACTCCAGACATTTAAAACATTAAAACGTTTACGTCTCTAACAACTTTATGGATCATGTCCATTATCCAGCACGCTAGAAATGGACCAAATGTTTGATAACTACAAGGTTTGAAATACTTAGAAGCAACCCCGCGAAAGAGCATATGATGTTGCAAATCATCCATGCATATATGCTATGACCATAATGTCCCTGACCCTCTTTCATGAATGTATATCCAAGCATGCTTTGCATATTCCAAGCCTTCCACGGTATAGCTCAGAAAAACCTTGCTCATGAATCAACATTAAACGAGAGCTACCCGACAACAGAGGATGTTCATGATGTTGTTTGTATCATTGTCAATGGGTCTACTACTCAGCAATCAGAAAAGGTTGAAATTTAATTACCAAGTAAATCAGCCTATTCATTTGTATGAAGCTTGACATAGAAGTCTTGAAAGACTTTCTGACCGTCCCCAGTTGTTCAGCTTTGATTACAATAGTTAGGTTCTGTTCTGGGGTTCTGGTTTCAGTCGGTAGCTTGGTATATACCCTGTACCTGGGACTTGCAACGATTCCAAAGACAATAGAATTTAGGGTTACCAAGTCTAACATCAAAGACCACCCTGCCGTGGAGTATTCAAGTATTCAGCATGCTAGATAGAAACAAAATATTTCGTTGATGCCATATCATTACATGTATAGGAGAATATCATGTAGTTGGTCATTAACACCAGGCAGGGGACAGGGCATGAATTTGGGTTTCAGTGCCTGTTTTGGTCCTATCTCAAGTAATATTCCTGGAAAATTTGAAGGTACAGCTGTTTCCAGCTGAAAAGGTCTGATCAGCTCTGGGCCCGGATCCTCTTTTATTACTGAATCCTGGATAATCAGCTTTCTTGAACCTAACTTTCTCAACCAAGCGCAGACCAGCATCCTCTGCTAATCTCTCTATCTCCCACTTACTGTACGGCTCTGTGGTTTTATGGGTCACATGAATTTCTCCATTCACTTCCAACATGTTATGAGCACTCCCCAGGAAGCCCTTCACCAACCTTTGATGTTTTCTAAGAAGAGAAAATACATGTTATTGACACAGTTAAATCTAAGAATACTTGCCAGTCTTGAATTTAATCTAGTGGTTCACAATAAATACTATGATACAGCAGACAGGAGAGAGGTCTCTCAAGTTCAAATCCTGCCACCTTGAGAACAAAAAACATCAAATGATTTTTATCTGAACTTACTCGATTTGGCGAATATTAGATTCACTCCTTTTGAGAGCTGTAGCAGGAAAATTAAAGACTATCCTGTCAAACAATTTCTGATTCAGTAGAGGATGCTTGCTCATAGTATGTGCATCTACTTCATGCATTACGAGACATCCAAGATCCCCCAGCTCTCTTAAGTTTGTTGCAGCTTTTGAATACTTCAGCATCATGGTCTCTTTTGTTTATTTGTAACAGGATTTATCAGAATGCAAATCCAAGAAATAACAGATCATATAGACGCTAGTAAATATTACCTTTGGGGTAGAGAGAAGTGGCTACCATGTTTACAGCAGAACCAAATGCTTTTCCCATGGAAGCAGCAAAAGAAAAATCACCTTCTCCTACCAGTAGTATTTTATGAGAACTGCTGTAATGCTTTATCCATTTCTCTTTATTTTTTATACTGAGTATTTCCATTTGTCTCTCTAAACCATCCATAGCTATTTTGGCACTACGAGATCTTGTTTAGAGGGTTTGAGAAGAGATGAATAAACATAGAGCAGCAACAAGAGATTAAAAGTAAAAGGAGAGTCCTTGCTTTTTGGATGGAATCTATACTTCATGATGATTAAAGGGCCATGAGGGATACTTTTTCTCATGGAAATTTAGATCTCGATGTTTCGTTTTCAATGATACCATTACTGGTCCCTTCATGCAATCAAATCAGTAGATAGCACGAATAGCAGCCTTGAGAGTTGAATAGTAGCAGTTACCCACGCAAAAGAAAAGGAAGGAAACAAGAAAAAAGAAAAGGAAGAGTAGGTTGCGTTGTTGTTCTGCATTGAATGGTGAAGTACAAACAGAAATAGACCTTGGATAACCTTAGATAAAGGGAAAGGGAAAACAAAAGAAGGGTGAAAACCTGTTCAACATCCCTAGAAAGATTGAGACCGAACAGAAATGTGAAATCACATTGGACGAAATAATGTTAAAATGAAGCTTAAGCCGAGTATTTATGGAACCAACGAGCCACCTTAGAGACGGAGGTTTACAAGCACAAGGGGTGCAATATCAGCCCAGCTGCATCCTCTACAAATTTCTCAATTTGCCACTTGCTATATGGATCTTTAGTCACATGTCAAATGCAAGAATCAAGAATCCCTTCACTAACCTTTGATAACTCCTAAAATAGATGCATAGTTATTAATTAGCACTTTAACTTATATTAGTTAAAGGCCAAAAACTTGCCCATGTGCATTGTTATTGTCACAGGGTCGAGCCAACGCGATGTCATCTAGCAACGATAGAGGCTTTTGTCGTGCTTCTTGTATGAGGTGTTGTGTATTGGAAATAGATTTTGAATTTAATCATAAAATTATAATTAATATTCAAGAGTTGTCACCTAGTATTATGGTCACTAGAAATTCATGGTCTGCGAAAGTCTGAGTAAGGGACTAGTTGTGCAAGGGGAAAATGCATCGTTCCTAGTGCACCCTACCTAAGGTAAGCTGAATTATTATTTGATTATTTTTCTATGTCAAGTTTAAATTCATTGGTCTTTTATAAGGTTCATGGTAGATCTCGCTTCATAGGAAAGTTTCTACCTTATCAAGTTAAATTCTAACTTTTCTAAAATCTGAATTTTAGCATCGTATTTTTACACCTTGTATCTTTAATACTTGAGGGTGTACTTTATCATGTAATGTTACACCCCACAAATATTAAAATCTACATCTGGATTGACATAATCAAAAGATTGATGTCTTCTCCTAATTGTAGGAGTATCGAAGTAATGAATAACCCGGCAAGACCGAGTTCGAATGTAACAACTTGGCTTTTCAAGCCCAAAAAAAAAAGTTACTTAACAAGCATCATGTCGGTAATCGACCAGCATGTTCCCTCACATCATCAATATACAATCCATGCATCAACAACAATCAACATGTCATTTAAAAGTGAATCTTACTTAAACTCATAATATTATGTTTGCATTATTAGAAGTTTGCATTTAAAATATACATGTATGGACATGAGTTTGTATTCTATCCTACAAATAGTCATCATGAATTTAAACTAAAAGGATCTAATAATAATTATACATTCAATACCTTGATTCATACAAAATACATCATGATTTAGAATGCAACTACATGATTCTTTGCAAAAGTAGGTTCCTATGTATTGGGTTTCCTAGGCACTATTGGTGTGACGTCCCAACTGTAGTATAAAACATTTAGATGAATACAATTACTTAATAATAATAATAATAATAAAACAGTCTGGTAGTTTAAAGAAGCATTAACATCATCTCATGTTTGAAGCATGACATTTGCAGTTCCTTTATATTCTTGGTATACACAACTTGTAGTACATATAGATGCACTAATTCTTATAATTAGCCATAATCTTAAATCCAACCATCCTCTTAAGGCATCGTTTGTCAAGAATAACCGTTCACTCACCCTAGCCATCCCCTTTGAATGTGACACGACTAAAAGGTTGATGTCTTCTCCCAAGTGCAGGAGTGTCGAAGTAATAAATAACCCGGCAAGACCGGGGTCGAACCACAAGGAGGTTAATTGTACAAATTATAAAAAAAAATTATAAAACAACAATAACAACAACAACAATAGTAATAATAATAATAATAATAATAATAA